CCAGCTGCAGCCGAAGCAACAGCCAGTGGTCACGAAGAGGCAAACTCGTGGGATTACGCGAAGCGTCTAGAATAGGTAAGAAGATGCAGGGAGCCGTGGACGTGCGAAATTAATGACGATGGCAGACGCATATCTCCCCCGAGGCTCACATGGCTGACTATGCCACGCACAGAACACAGAAAGGGGCGCGTGGCAGGCAGGGGTGCTGAGGGCAGGTGGCAGCGGATGAGAGGCATTACGCAAATCGAGTTTCACATATCTACTCTAATAACTTGACGCCACCCCAAGAAGATGGGCGAAACGTGGCTGAAAAGAGGAGGAGGAAGAGGAAGGGACGGAGGAGAAGGAGGAAATGGATGGGGAAGACCAGTGTAAACCCGAGGCGCATCCACGATGTTGCAACAAACCCTCCCTCCAAGTCCCTTCCTCGCCAGTCACTGCAATAATTTATGTTCGTTGCGGGAAGTGCCCCATTGGAAGACAACCGTCTGAGAATCCCCAATCGTGCCGAATCAACTCCCGGGGATTCATCGCCGCGAACCGAAGAGACCGTTACGTCCTGACAAGTCGATACGGTGCCAGAGCGCCGTTCCTCGCACATCAACATACCGACTGAACGTGACTGTTGCGTCTGGACAACCCTAAACATTGCCATGAAGCCGTTCGTGGGACTTCACCCACACGAACCCTTACAACTGCTGCAAACGTTTAAATCGAATGTGCACTGCGTTGAAACGAACATCACCAGTTTCAAACTACATCCTTCAAGCGGTTGCATGTTTTAAGACGAGTGTGCGCGGCGCTCAACTGATGACCACATTTTGAACACCGTCCGTCCTCCATCCGTGAAGCTGTTTCACACGTTATAGAAAGAATGTGTGCGGCGCTACGGTGGGAACCCCATTTTGAAAACCACCCGCCTTCCACCCGCAACACTGTTGCAACATTTTAAGACGAGTGTGCACGGCGATGAAGCGATAACCACATGTTGGAAACGGCCCGCCCTCCATTCTAGAATCGTTTCAAAACAAAAAGGGTTGTCCGCTGCGCTAAGGCGATAGTCGCATTTCGCCCGCTTTTCCACCCGTGAAACTGTCGCAAGCTCGACGCTTCCGGATCATAGATGGAGGAGGTGTCAGACGAAAAGCGCTGCCCGCCCTACCGACGCGTGTGGGTTTGCGACAGGGAGGAAATATGTATAAGGAGAAGCGATGGGTGAGGAGGAAGAGGAGGAGAAGGAGGAGGAGGAGGAGGAAGAGGAGGAAGAGGAGGAGGAGGAGCGAACGTACCCAGAAGGCGAGTCCCGAGTCAGCTAGGCCTGCACAACGAGCCTGGCTGCAGCGGCAACCCGCGAATGGGATATGGTCCTTGCTTGTGTGGTAACTATGGGAGGCAAAGACCGTGGCTTCAACGGCCTAGACTCTCGAGATCTCAGCGTTCTGTACCGTAGTCCCCGGGAGACCCGAAGCCGAGCCAGAGAAGAGGGTCCAAAGGAAAGACGAACCGCACCCGGCACAAGGCGGGGTGGTCAGAGGAAGTGGTGAGAGATCGAGCCCGATCCACCGCGCCCAGAAATAAAATCACGTGAATGGCGAGAGACGTGCATGCGAGAGCTCGTGGTCTAGCCTCCGCAGAGGGTCTTGACATACGCCCACCTCCAGGCGGGTCTGGCTTCGCATACGCATTCGCGAGCGAGAGCCCAACGAACGGCGAGGTCGGGAGGGGCTTGGAAACCCCGTGCTTTACCACTTATGGAATGCCTCGCTCCACCGCCCAGGGATCCCGCCGCCAGGGCCGAGATGCGCCCCGAGATGTGCAATGGCAGGCTGCGCGTCACAAGATGCCGCGGATGCGAGCCTCGAGCGGAGGCTGCTGACCAGATCTACGGAGCATTCGGGCCAGAGAGGTACAATGCAACATCCATCTGGCTGGAGCCCGAGGTGCGCGAGCTGCCCTCGGGCCGCAGAATGCGGGGACAGAGCGGAGAGAGTGCTGTGCTGGGGGGGGGGGGGCGCTCCAATGTCGTCAGCGCGTCCCCCGAGGTCTCTCGGGGCGTTCCCATCGGGCGGCCTCTCAACCACGGCCGAAAGCAACCTGGCAACATGGTCAAATCTTGACGCCCGCACGCTGCCTGAGAGAGAGACATCCCTGGAACACCCCGCTGCACATGCGGAACGCAGAACGATTTTGACCGCTAAGTGTGCCGAGCACTGCGGGGGGGGGGGCGTCGAGGGGGAGAAGGCGGTTGAGGAACCCCCAGGGCAGCCCCTGGCGACGAAGAGTCTCGAAGAGCCGGAGCCGGCCGTGCGCCGCCGAGGGGAGCCAGCAGCGATGCCGAAACAAACGAAACGCGGCATATTGATGTCCCCCGATGGGGCGATGCTGAGCGCGCGAGCAGCAGCGCCCACGCGCGCGATGTTGCGCTTGAAATTCCTGCCCGCGACGAAGCCTCGCTGATTTTCGCGCGCCATCTGGGGGGCGCGGCTGCGGAGCTGAAAATTTGATGCACTGGCAATGGACTGCGCTGCGAGGGGAGCGAGGTCTGATTTTGCTCGGCTGACGGGCGCAATCGAAAACATCTGACGGAGCATTTCCTTTCGGGGGAAGGGAAAGATGGAGTCGTCGAGGTCCAGGGGGGCCGGGCCACCTTTGAACAGCGCGAGAGCCAGGTCGCGCAGGATGTCGAGCTGAAGGGGGCGGGCGGCCCATGCGGGGCAAGTGAACCCGTCGGGGCCAGCCGCAGAGTGGCGGGCGCGGCGGAGAGCCTGCTCGAGGCCGGCGCGGGCACGGGGGGGAAGACTGGCGAACTCGGACCCATCCGTGAAGAGGAGGGGGAGGAGGAGGAGGAGGAGGAGGAGGAGGAGGAGGAGGAGGAGGAGGAGGAGGAGGAGGAGGAGGAGGAGGAGAGGAGGAGGAGGAGGAGGAGGAGGAGGAGGAGGAGGAGGAGGAGGGGGAGGAGGGGAGGAGGAGGAGGAGGAGGAGGAGGAGGAGGAGGAGGAGGAGGAGGAGGAGGAGGAGGAGGAGGAGGAGGAGGTCCAGGCACTGTCGGAGCCAGTCTGGCTCGACGCGTCTGGCATGGCAAACTCTCCCTCCGGTGACCCGAGAGCGCGTCCTCTTCGGCCGGCCGAGCAGCGAGCGCCTCGCTGTCTGGCGCCCCAGCGGCGGCTGCGGGTCGGACTCCCTGGGGGGCGAGCGTGCCGCCGCGAGGCCTCCAGAGTTCGGCGCGTTTCTGGGGGGCTCTCCGCTGGCGATCGGCAGCGGCGGCCGTCTGGTGCAAACCGTCGGCCTGCGCTCGGCGGGCGAGGGCGGCGGCTCGGAATAACCGTTTGGCGATCGCCGCCGAGCTCATCTCACGAAACACGGTGTGAAAGGCCTCGGGCTCGAGGAGGGGGTTGAGGGGAGGCCGAAAGGGAGAGGAATCGTGCGCCGAGCTCTGCGGTGGCTTGGATGGTGGCACCAGCTCTCATGTCTGGCCTCCGCGCGGCCCCGGCGATGGCACGAGGGGTGACGAGGCGGGCCTCAGCAGCGTCCCCACTGCGGGGGGCTAGGGGAAGTCTCTGCAATTCGTTGAGATTCTCCTTGGCCGCTTCCCACATATATGTATTCAAATGTTTCCAGCGAGGGTCGGCTGGTAGATGAGATGTCGACAGCCTGGATGAGAGCTTCAAGCTTGTCGCGACATCGGACATCTTGGAACATGAAATCAAGAATGCGATGTTCAGCTTCCGATTCGCAGCCGCGGATTTGACGAGAAAGCGAGACCAACGCGTGGTCACTCAAACAGGCATCGGCCAATCGGCATGGGTTGGTATGGACCTCCATCGCTGCATCAACCTCGAGCATGAATTCCGCGGGGGTCCCCAGGAAGACACGATCTACGGCAACAGCAATGACATGTCGGCGATCGAAGCGCGTGTGGGGGTCAGCTGGGACCTCGGTGGCAGCCTGCGTGAGCGGGCGCCAGATGCGGGAAATGGGGGGCGCATGTGTGTCCACGGCTAGTCTGGCAGCGACAGGCTCAGGATTATCGTGACTGGTCGGGGCGGTGCCCGCGATGTTGAAGTCGCCCAGCGCGACGACGGCATTCTTGAGCGGGTCCGGGCGGCACCGTTCCAGCAGCCGAGCCACCGTGCGCGGATGCGGGGAAGAGCGTTTTGCGGGATACCGTAATTGTGGACATCCCTGATGGCCGTAGAACACTGCGCGTGGGGATGAGTGCCTTGGAGTAGCTGAGCGCGGCCAAGAACGAAAACTTCATGCGTGGGAAGAAGGCCTTCAGCAGGAAGAGGTAGAATGCGCTCGTGTGATTCAGCAACCCATGAGAATAGAATAGCGACGCCGCCTGCACCTTGTCTGTCGGTCGCCAAATGGAAAAGCTTATAACGGAAAGGCATGCCAGCAAAGGGAACATGGCGCTGCCCGGCGTAGCCGTGACTCTCCTGGATAAGGATGACAGCACGGTCTCTGAGGTGAGGAAATAGCAACCTGAACTTCGCGCGGCGACGGGCGAGAGGAAGGCGTGCTAATCCTCTGGCGTTCCATGATACCACCCAACCAGGGTGCTTGGCCGGGCACCATTTCCATGGCGCCCAGCGACTGTTAGAAGCCCTGCCGTTCCCCCGACGCGTCCACAACGTTAGCCAGGCGGGCAAGGCCTCAGAGACGACGGACTTGCGGATTGCAAACTGTTCCGCCGTCGGTTCATGCCAGACCAGCTTGGCGGGGTCATTGGCGCCGTCGACCGTGAGAGCAACCGGCGGGGCATTGTTGGCAGATGCCATTCCTGTGTTGCGCTGATATGTAAAACGATGCCGCGGATGACTTTGGTCAAGACACGCTCGGCCTTCTTGGTGTGGTTCGAGCCTGGCGGCCTCGGGGGCATTGTCGGGCCTGCTGTAGAGCGGGGTCTGGGCGCCCTGAGCGTTGGGGGCGCTGAAAGTGCGCGGGCCGCCGGGGCCGCGGAGGTGCCGGGCGAGAGCGAGGGCGCGGGGCCTGGCGACCTCGTCAGAGCCAGTGGTGCGAAGGAAGAAACGCCCGGCGGGGATGTCGCCAATGGGCTGGACCTGGTCAGCGGCGACGCCCGCGTCAGCGAGCCGCTGGGAGATGCTGCGCTCGACCTCCTGGGGGGCGATCGCGGGCGGGGGGCCGATCGCGAAGAGAGTCGGTAGGCGGCGCATTCGCATCCGGCCACCTTGGCGGCGTCGAAGGCGCAGGCCTCGGACTCCGCAAGAGCGAGGGCGTGCTCGAGCTTCGCGACGACGCCGCGGACGCGGCCCTGCTTCTTCTCCATGTGGGCTTGGCGCTGCTGGATGTCAGCGACGAGGTGGGCTTGCCTGTCGATTCGGGCACTGGTTTGTTGCACTTGAGCGAGACAAGTGCGCATGCTGGCCGCGAAGTCCGACTGGGCCGTCAGCGGCGTGTCTTCGTGAACCTTCTGGAGCTGCGTGGGCGCCGCGGTGATCTGGGCCTTGAAGAGGTGCTCGAACTGCATCTCGATGTCAGGAATGGCGGCGCCTTGCCCGTGCCCGCGCCATGGCTCCGCTTCTCCAGCGGCCTGCCACGGGTCGGCGCGAGGCCGCGCTGGGGCAGAGGGCGCTGCTGAGGAGGAAGCTGCAGCTGCATGACTGGTGCCCTCTTGAGGGGGGGAGGTGGGGGCGGCCTCCAGGTCGGCGCAGGGGGCCGTTGCTCTGCCTGCGAGCTGCTGGACCTCGAGCCGTCGGGCGACGGCGCGGGGTCGGCGGTCGGGGAAGCAGGGGCTGGAAACCCCACAGTGGATCCGCCTCCACGACTGCAGAGGCAGGCGAATGATGACTAGCTGCGCGGGAGCCCGGGTCCGCGGAAGAGGCCGCTAGAGGGTGCCAGACAGAACTGTCTTGCCCGCCTCGGACCAGAGGCCCCCGCCCTGGTCCACGGGGGAACCACAGCCTTGAACCGAAATTGCCGCGGAAGAGGGCGGGGAGGGAAGGGCGCAGCGGCGCAGCGGCGTCGAGCTGATGCGCGAGGTGGTGGCCTGCGCTATTGAGAAAACGCCCTCGAGGCCGGCGCCGCCGGGCGTGGCGAACGCCTTCATCGAGGTCGACCGGGGCGTCGTCCTCCGCGAGGTCACGGGCAGGGGCCCGCCCCTCGCGCGCCTCGCAGCCACGCGGCGCGGAGGGAATGCCACGCGCGGCGCGCGCCTCTCGGGCGCTGTCGCCGCACTGACAGCAGAGCGGGGGTTCGACCAGGGCTGCCTGGCCCCCTCTTGCCAGATTTTTTCGCCGCGGCCACTGCGACCCTTTGCGGGGACTTGGCGCGCGCGCTGCGGCGGGGCACAGGCGCCATCGTGGTGGCGTGCTTGGGCGACGTCTACCTTGCGGGCGCGCCGGAGGCGCTCGCTGCGGCCGAGGCAGCCGCCCCGGGGCTCCACGCGGCGCGCAGATTCCGCTGGGCGGGGACAATGCCAAGGTGTAGAACCCGCACAACCTGCAGCTGCCTGCGACCCTGGCTGCGGCTGAGACGCCCGAGCTCACGCGCGCGGGCAGCCGCCTGCCCTTCCTCGGCGGAGCCGCGGCCGAGAACCTCGGCGACGACCCGGCGGCGGCCAGCCTCGGCGCGACGGCCGCGCCAGAGACGGCGACCCGCCACTAGGCGGCCCGCTTGATGGCGCTCCAGACCTTGCGCAAGCGCGGCTTGACAGCGCAGGGCGAGCTGAATCTCCCCCGCACCTTTGCGAACGGAGCTGCCCTGCACCACGCGCGAGCACGCTTGCTCAGCGAGGCCTGGTGCGCCGACTGCGGCGGTCGGGTCTTGGGGCACCTGGAGGGCGTGCCAGGGCAGCCCCTGACCGTGGCGGCGCGCGAGCAGGCCTGCCTCCCCCTGGCAGACGGGGGGCTGGACATGTGCAGCCTCGGGGAGCGCAGCATGCCCGCCTTCGCGGGCTCCCGGCTGGCCCGCCTGGCCGAATGCGCCGCAAGCTCGGACGGCCGAGCCTCGAGGCTTTCGCCGCGGCCTGCCTCTGGACTTATAACGGCGGTGACAGCGGCGGGGCGCTCGGCGGGCGCAGGCGCCGAGGTCTGGCTGCGACCAGCAACGGAGCACGAGGAGAAAGCGCAGCGGCTCCTCGCGAGGCCGGCGCAGGAGCGGCGACGCACTCAACTGCTCGCCTCCCTGCCGCCACTGGAGCATGCGAGCCTCCGCCCGGCCAGCGGGAAAGGCGTCGGGAGCTGGCTCCTCCCGCCAGCGGAGCTGGACCACGTCCTCGCGGATGAGCACTTCCGCCCTGCGGCTCCGCTTGCCCCTGCCGCCTGGGGCCAGCGCAACTTGCCTCCAACGCCGCCCCGACGGCTCCTACTGCGGGCCTGCCTGCGCGCAGACCCTGGGCATCCTCTGGGTTGCCTCATCGGGGGCGGCGCAATGTAAGCACCACGGCGTCCGGGACTGGCCCGCGCGATGGGTGGCGGCGCGGGGCGCCGCGGGCGTGAAGGCGGAGCAGTTCGTCCCCGCTTGGGACAGACAGCGCCCAGACAGCTCCCTCGAGGCCGCGCGGCTGGACGTGGCCTTCGCCAACCCGGTCGCTGGGGTCACCTGCGCCGACGAGGTGATCGCCGGCTCGTCCCTGGTCGCGGGTGCGGCCGCCGGGCGAAGCCGCGCCGCGCGCGACGGGGCCGCGGCGGCGGCGGCGGAGACCCGCAAGCACCGGCGCTACTCGGGCCCTGCCCTGGTCGCCTTTGCTGTGGAAGCGCTGGGCGAGCCAGGAAGGAGGCGCAGGCGCTGCTGAGGAGCTGGGCGGCGGGCGACCCGGCGACGCTGACGGCGGCGCGGCAGAGCCTGGCCGTCGCGCTGCAGCGCGGAGGCCTACCGCGCGGCCACCCTGCCCGTTGGCGCGGCGCGGCGCCTGGCGGGCCCAGGCGGCCCCGGCCCGTCGAGCGGCAGCAGGCACTGGCCAGCGGCCGGCGCGACTCCGTTGGGGCCTCGGCTGCGCGGCGACCCCGGCGGCACGGGCGCAGCCAGCGACCGCGGGCAGCGCACCGCAGAGCTGGGCCGCGCGCTGGGCAGCTGACCGGGCGGCGGGCGCGCCCCTCCAGCGCCGGGCTGTGCTGGGGCTGGACTGCGCTGGGCGGACGGCACTGGCCTGGCCGCGCGCTCTCTGCGCGGCTGGCGAGCAGGGCCAACACGCCAACCAGGCGGCGGGCGCCGCGCGGCTGCCGGGCGAGGTTGCCAGGCGGAACTGGCAGAACGGCGGCAAGCACTGGCCAAGCGGCCGGCGCGACACCGGTGGGAAGCAGGGGGCGTGGGCGCAGCTGGGGCGGCGGGCGGCCGCGGCTGGCTCTCCGGGGTGCGGGAAGAACGGCTACCGGGTTCTCGCGGGGCTGGCCGCGATCCCGGGTAGCGTATAGGCCCTGGTTGGTCGACCCCTCCCCCCCGGGAGTGTCCGCTGTCTTAGGCAGCCAACCACCCCGGGGGTGCCGCGCCCTCTGAGAGGGCCGGCGGAGGAGGAGGAGGAGGAGGAGGAGAAGGAGGAGGAGGAGGAGGAGGAGGAGGAGGAGGAGGAGGAGGAGGAGGAGAAGGAGGAGGAGGAGGAGGAGGAGGAGGAGGAGGAGGCAAGCTGAGGCAGGACGGGGAAGGGGAGAGGGGAAGTTGAAGAGGAACGCCCCCCCCAACTTAGCGCCGTCTGCTGCCTGCCCGCGGCTACCATGCCGCTAACACTCCCCTGATGACCCCGCCAGACCGGCCACCAGCACGCTGCCGCCATGCCGGTGGCTATTTATTGGGAGCAAGCGAATCGGCTGTTCGGCATCCGCGACCCAGGTCGGCGCTGGAGCGGAGAGGGCTAACCATGGCAGCAGGCCAGAAACATGATGTCGTGGCTCTCCAGACGCCACGTGGCCTTCTGGATTGGATGCGATGTCGTACTTCGTGCGACGATGTTGCTGCTGATTATGCTGGCGACTTGTGCTGATGATGTCGATGGTGATGACGACGAGGATGAGGTGATTGTGATGATGGCGGTAATGATGCTGATGACAAAGTTTGATTATGACCAAGTCTGACTATGGTCAATATAGGATTTGGTGTATCGTTGAAGGCGGAAGATGGGGACAAGGTGATTATGGGTGGAAGCGTTCGGGAGCATGGGAAGTGGGCAGGAAAAGGAGGGCGAGGGCAACAAGGATAAAGCGGAAGAAGAAGCTCATCGGGAGAATAACTCGGATTGCTATGTTGAGCAGGATGTGCAAGAAAAGCAGGTTAACGGGCGCGGAGAGCAGAATGAATCTGAGGATGAAGACGACGATGAGGGTACTGGAATTTAGGCAAACCTGGAGGAGCAGGAAGCCGAAGCGAGGGTGTGGGAGCACTATGGGTACGAATAAGAAACAATGATTAATCTACTCGAAGAGGACTGACGAGCATGGACAATTCATCCCTTCGGCAATTCCGGTCCTGATGTGAATTGGGTTCTCGCGCAGTATGTATCCGCTGCCCCCCGGGCGGGAGCAACAAAAGCGTGTCCAACGCACGTGACATCAAACTTGTTGGACCTGCAGTGGCTTTCCTTGGCAGGTTGTGCCTCCCTCCCCCTTCTTCTCCTCGCTCTTCAAACTCTCGCTCATCATGGTGAGTTTTTTGCTTGCGAAAATACTTGCGCTTGGCATGTTCTGGACTTGTCAAACCACGCAGCGCATATTGGCGTTGACGGTGAAGTGCATGTGTTGCCGCAAATAGTTGTGCACGCATGTGCTAACATGCGCGGGCCCCTAACACCGAAGGTGCAATTCTACAAGTATTTGTGTACCGCCGTCGGACCAATACAAGCAACGTGCTGTCACAGCTTGACAGCGCTCTTCCCTCGGTCCCTGCATGCCTCCCTCGTGACACATCCCCCTTTCAACCTCTTCGCTTTTCCCTCCCATTTCGGACTCCGTCTCCCATTCTCCCTTTCTGTGTATGCACGCATGAATCTCGGAACGGGGTGTTTTCCCCTCACGCGAGTCCATTCAAGTCCTGCTTCGGGCTCTCCGGCGGGCGGTGGGGCGGGCCGGGTGTGAGGTCCGGCTGGGGGCTGACCTGGCCACGAGGGGGCCTGGGGGTGGGGGGAGGACAAGGAAGAGGAGGACGACGAGGGGGAAGGAGCAGGAACACGACGAGGGGGGAGGACGAGGAAGAGGAAGACGACGAGAAAAGATGAGGAGGAGGAAGAGGAGGAAGGCGAGAAGGATAAGGAAGAGGAGGATGATGAGGGGCCCGTCGCTGTGGTGCCCAACGGTGCTGCCCCCCTTGGCTGCAGGTGCCGAAGTCTTCGAATGAGACGGCGCCTGCGGCGGGCTTCTGGTCTTGCCTGCTGCCTGCTGCATGTTAGCTTAGTGCATGCGCGCGCGCGCGTGTGTGTGTGTGTGTGTGTGTGTGTGTGTGTGTGTGTGTGTGTGTGTGTGTGTGTGTGTGTGTGTGTGTGTGTGTGGGGGGGGGGGGCGGACGGAAAGAGGGTATCACTCCTATCCGCTCCTGGGGTGGTACTGTGGTATCCTTCGCTCCCCCTCCCCTCCCTCCCCCTCCCCCTCCCCCCCCTCCCCCCTCCTC